CTCCTGACCCAGATGGCCATTGTTGTGGAGAAGATGTCGAGCAGACACGCGCCAACATCGTTGGTCAATTTCTGTGGCAAGGCCTGCGCATATGCTTTCTTCTTCGTCCCTGGTGTGGCCGATGTCCTAGTGCGCCTTTGGGGTATGACGGCAGACCAGCTGCGGCGAGTGGCGGACGAACTTGGCTTGCCTCGAAGGAGTAAAGGAGAAAGTGAGGATATTGTGGCTCTTTTCCCGCCTAACTTGCACAAGCTCGGATGGTCCTCGGTCAAGCGAATGACTGACAATCTGCGTCTTGTGACAAAGCTTTCCCTGGTAGCTGCAAAGATCCCGTGGTATGGTCCTTGGGTTCCCAGATGGCGCGGCGAGGATACCGATCTCTTCTTCATATTTTGCAAGTACTATTACGTTCTTGCTGAGGATTTCATGCCCGTTGGCCTACCTTTGGTAGAGAAAGCGCGCGCTCCCGCCTTCCTTCTGATCCATGCTCAGCTGCTTGGAATTCTGGACACAACTATCCACCATCGACAGGCTCAATTTGACTCGATGCTCGGCCCTCCCCCCGTACTGGACGCGTTGCACGGAGCAGATGCCATGGTGACTGCGCTGCCTCGGCTTCTTCCCAACAACTTACTGCGTGGCATGGAAGAGAACCGGATGATCATCTTGCTCAAAGATATACTTGCTGAGAACTCGATTGGAGGGGTTGCTTCGAGTGCTCGGGACACATTTGCAGACGCATTCATGGCTATCCTCAAGGCGGCTACGAAGAAGACACCAACCTTCAAGCAGGCCCCGGTATTCATGCTTGTTGACTTCCTCCAGGAAACACTTACGGTATTCGACGCATATGCAGGTTATACAGACCCTGACACAAGAAATCAAAAGCCCGAAATGGCCAGAGATCACGTGGATTGGCCCTTCTGGATAGATGTCTGTAAGCGTATATTGTCTTCCAGCTGCACAATGTCCGAGATACGGATGCTTTCATTCCTTTTCTCTACATGGGACATTCTCGTCGCCGACCCAGCTCGAAAAGAGCAGATTTGCAACGGCTGGCTACTGGAGGAGGAATTGTTTGACAGGTTCTTTAATAATCATACACCGATGGTGCGGGCTTACTTTATGCGACTTCTGTGCTGGAGAATTTGCCGCGATGAGGGCAGCGCTAACGGCGCTGATACGTGAGTGATCTTAAATTCCTCCATTCATCGGTGCCTCCCAAGATCTTTGGCCATACCGCTAACATTGCTTCGTATAGAAAACTCTTTGCACTCGTATCTGAACGTCTTAAGAAAGTCTGGTCTCACTACCTATGGCTGAAGCAACAAGCCGATTTGCAACGAAAACTGCCGCCTTCGACCGCACCTTCACTTCCTCAGCCAGGCAAACGATTCATGATCATCCGGTGCGAAGTCGGAACTCCTCAGACTGGACTGTTGATGGGTTTCGATTCGTTCACAAGCTCTTTTTCCAACCCCGAGGTCAGTGCAGACTATCGCGCAACCATGTCTGGAGACAACAATGGTAGTTCGTCCGGGAGCGGTGGAAAGACGGATACGTCCTACAAGAAGAAGTGGACACTGCTTGGCAAGGTGCTGAGCTTCACATCTGCAACGACTCTTGGAGCCACTCCTATTCATGGGGGAGTAAGACGTACCATGGACGAGGAGCTCGAAGCAGCACGGCGCGAGACTGCAGCATCCCGTTCTGTAGCGCCGCCACCTCCACCGAAATCAGGCACTCAGGCCAATCAATCAAGTTCGGAATCCGATGCCTCTTCGACTGGCTCTTCTCCTGTATATGACGCAGCACAGTTCATCTTCAAATTCACCCTCAACAATGTGCAATGGCAACAAAGTCAGGGTGGAAATGGTGGGATCATGCCAATCCTTCCACGAGAGCGGATATTAACTCGGCCACGACTCCCTGCCCCAGCACAAGCAAGAGTCAGCGCACGATCGGTGTCAACAGGTCGGCGAAGCGAAAGTCCACCACCACCTGCTCCAGGATTGCCGCCTCCAGAACGACGGTTTTCCGGCCTCCTCCAGGTGGGACTTGTTGCAGAAGCGCGCAACGCGTCATCGACAGATAAAGAATCAAAGGTGTCACCGAGTGGGAATGGAACACTCTCGCGTCCAACCGTCAACACACGAGTTGCAAGCCAAGGATCACTTCGTGACAGTCCGATAACTTCTAGCCCAGACGGCAACCGTTTTCGCTCCGATGACCTTGGATCGGCAGCCCCGGAACGGAGCGGCGAGACTGAAAGACAGATCATGCAACCGACGGAGCCCCTTGGCAGTTTCAGAGACCGGGCGGTGTATACCGGGCGGGCACTGGCCGAATGGAGCCTTGTGGTGAACGAATGTAACTCCTTCGTCGACAGGCGACGCGAAGAAGGCATTCTTGGGCTGAAGGATGTGGAAGTGCCTAGTCTTGGCGTCGATGGTCTTCGACGATTGGCCTAGGGGGCCGCAAGCCGGAATAGCAGCGCGAAAGACTCTATTAGCTGGATCGTACCTTACGGTGAAAACGAATTAGAAATCTCGCGATGGCTCACAAATCAGGCCAGATTGGATCTGTGGTTTCTCAGGCTCATCTCACAACAGGATATCTCACATCACCGGCATAAGGACGGTACTTTTCCTCGTCTAGGGTAAACCATGCCTCAATACATCTCTCACGGGACAACTTTCTTGGTTGTTCCACCTACATCTCGAAACCGAACATAACTGATTTGCCATACATTGGAGTACTTGCGCTCATAGCGATTTATTTCTCGATTGCTTTCCTGGCCAGTCTTTCAGCATGGTCATCATAAGGGGTCAATTTCTGCACACAAAGTCACATTTTCAGGCGTTATCGGCTCTGGATGGAATTGAACAGTCAGTGGGGGTTCCCATGGGGATTCTGATTTAATGCGCTTTCTTTTCCAGTCTGCGATATTCAATGGGCCTGGCAGGCTTGAATGTGGGAAGGATCGATGCCATTTTGGTAAAATGGGTTTGGAGTAAACAAGCCTTGTATACACATGTACTATATATACATCGACATGAGACATATGAACACTTTCGGTTTATCTAACTCTTTTTGGGCGTGCTACAATATTATATCTGGAGCCTCCTAGCTCGACTTGTGAACAGTAGAAAATAAGCAGACAGGTCAAAAGCAAACTTGGGATTCGTGCCGCTCATACTCCTTCCAGCCAATCTAATCTCTCTTGTCTTCCCCGTTGGGATATGCCGTGGTTGCATATGTTGGATATTACGAGAAGAGTCGTGGCATCGGTGCATAAAGCTGTCGCTTATCACAGGTAATCTGACAAGCTCATTGGAGGTAAGATCTGCTTGGTGCTTTCTGATCATCCATGACTTGCAAGAATTCCACGCTCTTAAATGTCAAACCCCGGCACTTTCTCGAGCTTCCATGCTAGTCGGTAATACATCTGGTTCGTCTTTTCATCTAGCCAGACTATTCACCAGACGTTTCCCCCGGAATTCGTGGTGTTTCTTATGTCAGACTGCGAGTTTCCGCTTGCGGCATACTTGCCGCCAGTAGTGAACCGCGGAGCTTACCCATTTGGCGTGTCTTTGCTACGAGATGCCTTCTGGCAGCCAAATGTGATTTGTCAAATTGTTACGCTCATGGATGCTTCAGAAGGAGGAAGATCTGATTGGTCTGTTGCCCGCTGGGTTGACACCACTTCAAGGTCCTTTACGTAGCTAAGGCAATGTAAGCGTATTGATCCCACTTGTTGTCAACCATTGCTACATGTCTTACCCCAGGCTAGAATCCCGGAGATGCACGATCACTTAGACTTTGCAGGCCTACCGGACTTGATGCCGGATAGCAAGGATCATTTTGTGGGTGGTCATATTGGAGGTTTTCCGCCCCATGCTCAAAATATCATGGGTAAGGAAGCGTTGAGCCATTATGGGGAATACTGCCATTGCTATTTTATATAGCCTGCAAGCTCGATGCGAATTGCCCCCAAAGGTGGTCCCTCTTCTCGGTGGAGTATATAACGGTGCCGATGGGACTCAAGAAGCCTTGGTAGAATATTGTCGAAAGCAAAGTCCCCTTAAGGAGCTCACCACAATAACGTACAGTCAGCCCTCCCTCACTGGACTGATGCCCGCATTTCGAGCAATAAATTGGAATCGAGAATGTCGAACGTAGGGTTGGAGGCTTCGTGTCTCGCAGCTGGCGCAGTGGGTGCAACCTCTCACGTCTTGTACTGGGCTCATGGACACCATGATCCGTACGTTACTCGAATATTAGGACTTCACATCGGGTCATATGTTGCTATCTTGCTTAGGCAAATCTCTTTCTATGGCGCTTTCACTGGATTCTTATATACTGCGGCCATCTCAGCGTCGTACCTTGGCAGCCTTTTCACAAGCATGATCATTTACCGACTTTTCTTCCATCGCCTCCGTCATTTTCCGGGTCCCCTCGCCGCGAAAATCACCAAGTTCTACAGTGGTCCATGCATGTCTGGAAGTGGCAAGATGCATGAGAAACGTAAGCAATTTCTAAGTCTTGGACTTCCGCCACTGCCCGTTCGACTTGGGACAAGAGCTCTAGCAGACAATTCCCTAGACCTCTTTTGTCTTCCAATAGGTGTTGAAAACAGACTCTAACATCCAGGGTACAGATCTTCAGCTTGTCAAGGAATATGGTGACATAGTTCGTAGTGGTATGCCAATCTGCCACTCCTATACTAGCTCTTTGGTGTTGACGTAAGATAGGCCCAAATGAATTGATCTTATTCAATATTGATGCTATTGAGAAAGTCGTAAGTAACTCCTTGAGTTCGTGTTTTACCTGTGATAGACAAGTTTCGAGCAAGGACTGCAAGCGCCAGACCAATTCTGGATAGACACTCATGAGACGTCCTTATTGCGGCCTTTCTGCCTTTTACCCTCCTCATAAGGCTATTGCTGAGTCAAATGCCGTAGCACGGAATAAGGTCCAAATGCACGAAGCATCGAACAATGTACGATTATTTCCAGTACAAAGGTGCCGAGAACCTCGACTCCATCAGGGATAAGGAGCCTCATAGATGGCGAAGGCAAGTCTGGGACAAGGCTTTGAATAACAAAGGTGTGTGTTACCATCACTCACACCAGTCCAGTCTAGTTATTTCCTCGAGACTAACGCATTAGAAAGCCCTGGAAACGTACGAGGCGTACACTAGAGACACAGTGAAAGACTGGTTAGACAAAATCGAATCTTACGGAGGGGCTCCCATAAACACGTCTCTTTTTGCTGTTCTGATCCCTTTCGACAACATTGGCAAGGTTGCATACTCGACCAATTTTGGTTCTGTTAGGACTGGTAGGGACCTTCCAATGCTTTCATTGATTGAGACCTTGTTCAAGACCATCGGAACACTAGGCCACCTGGACTGGCCTCTCCCACTGACAGCAGACCTTGGACTCGGAAAGGAGCAGATCCAGTTCGAGGATATTGCAGTTCGCATGATTGATGAGCGCGACAAGGTTAGAATGACCAAAGCCTTTGTGGAGAATAAGCTTACATATGCCTGTCATAGCGTAGCGAGGAAGGCCTTGAAGACATGGTCAAATATTTTCTCGAAGATCTTAAATCGGCAAAGCCAAAAGCATTCTTTGACCGTAATGTCCTCCACTCGGACTCGCAGGCCATCCTCATTGGCGGAGCGTAAGCAACCATACCTCATGTAAAGACACGGCTGGACTGATCAATTCCAGACCGACTATGGGATCAGCGATCGGATATCTATTCTACCACATCGCCAAGCACGCGGCTGTCAGGGAGAAGTTGTACAAGAGTCTTGCTGAGGTGTATGGGAAGACCATACCTGGCCAATTCAAAGACTCGGATCTAGCGACACTCGAGTATCTAGATGCAGTCATAAATGAAAGCATGAGGATCGTCAGTCCAGGGGGCTCAAATGCACCAAGGAACACTCCACCCGAAGGGATCGAAGTTGACGGGGTGTTCATTCCTGGAAATGTCAAGATCTTCACGCCCATATACGCGTTCAGTTTGAGTATGACTTTCGTTATCCTAGAAGTGGTGTCGAGAGCTTTTAAATCATGGCTAACATTACACTTGAAGGCGAAAAATACTTTGTTGAGCCGGAGAAATTCATTCCCGAACGCTGGACCACCAGGCCTGAACTTGTTCTTGACAAGAGAGCGTTCTTCCCCTTCCTCCAAGGTATGCCTTGACACACTGACGTCGAATGGTATATATGATGCTAACGACATACTTCCAGGGCCATTCAGCTGTGTTGGAAAGCGTCTGGCATTGATGCTGATCCGGCTTCTCATCGCAAACACACTGTGGTCGTATGATTTTGAATTCGCCCCTGGCGAGGACGGCAACGATATTTTTAGGAAAGCCAGGAATCAGTTAGTTGTCAAACCGGGCAAGCTAAACGTTGTGTTCACCAAACGCACTTGAATGTAGGGTCCGCATAGAACGCTTAGAATTTTGTGGGCAACCCCTGTAACTGATTTAATTATACAGCTATAAAGGGTGAGATCTCTCTTTGAGAATTATATGGAGGAATTGCAAGGCAAACTTGTCACGCTTGAAATGAAACACAGGTAGGTTGCAGGTATGCAGCAAATCTCGTCATCAATTGATGCTTTATATTGAATCCCTTGCTTCCCGTCTTCTCTTTTGCAGTGATCTTTGACTACCTTCCGCAATGTGAAGTACTTACTTCTATTATCTCACTTACTATTACCCCCCCAAACTCTCCCGATATTTGGTGATTTCCGGCAGCAGCGCTGAATAGCGTTGCAAGCTTCCTTGACGCCAAAACTGCTCGCGATCGTAATACTCTTCGAACTGCGGTTTTTCGTCTTCGATGCTGATGAATGTGCGTCGGCTCCTTGTAAAGATGTGCAAGTCCGGCGCTACGAGCCATGCACGATCCAATGTTCCCACGCGAATGTACTTGACCAGATGACCAGCGCTGTATTCGCTCCATATGGCGACACGACAAGCCGGACAACGAGCAATCACCTGACCCCTGCCGGACTCTGACGGTGTACGGATGAACTCAGGTTGGACAACTCCGGCAGCAACATCCTGGGGCTTTGGTGTCGGCACCAGCGGTGGATTTGCGGGCAGGAAGACATCCGGATGGTCGGGTGATGCTGGAATGAACGCATCGGCGGGCGGCAAGAGCGTCACTTTTGACGACTCGATTACAAGGTTGACTGCAAATGCTGTCCCGGTCTCCCGCTGGCAAGAGGTGCAGTGGCAGCAATGGACAACGAGGGGCTCTAGATTGATACGATATCTAATCTGGCCACAGGCACAACCACCTTGCATGGGGAAGGCAGAGACATTGTCTGAGTAGTGAGGTTGTGAGGGAAGCGTCATGACCGTTAGCTGTATGATGTTCTTCTGCCGATATATCCCAGTTCAAGTCGGCGAGGGAGCAAGGGCTTTGTTCTCTTGTTTTGAATGTATGTAATAGTGCTTGGGAGAAAACGCAAGCTCCGAACGAGATTAGCCCTGCAGATGAAATTGACGAGGTTGACCGAGACCTGGTGGTGCACGAAGCATCGGTGGCCCTTGCTGTCAACTACAGGGCGCCTCTCGATAAACCCCTTATCTGGAGAGTTATGGCTTCAGAGATGCTTGGCAGCGATGTCAAAGGCGACGCCAGGCTCCAAGGCACCTAATACTGCCTAATCTGGAAAGTGGAGATACATTTTCTCCTTGACAACCAATCACGATCGATTTGAGCATCCACTGCTACACCGGGGCAGATGCGAATCTGTATCGGCCTCGTTCTTGCTGCATTCTAGATACTGACTCCAGCGGGAACGTTTGAGAAGGTGAAGATACTCCAGCATAATGTAGGCCCTTAGGTAGGCAGCCGTCGATGACAAAATCAAGCTCTCGTTCCGCGTAAAGCCCAGCGGACTTGAGGTCATACTGATAAAAATTCATAGACCTTTTTCCACGATGAAGCAACATATGTTCAAGATTTCCCCCCGTTTTCTCGAAATATGATCGCTGAGATCAATGTTCGACAGCACCACTGCAGAGTTGTGCCGGCCATTCATTCGCATTGGAAGGCTCATGCTGTCGCAAGAGCGTGGCTTCCTAATGTGTTGTACTGGTCTCTCTCAGGGGCTTTCCTTCCCTCTTAAGTTGCAATGTAAGTACTTGCCTTGTTGCGTCAATGGTCCTATTGCTCTTTCTCCTGTTCTCTGAACGGTCTAGGTTGGACTGGACAATGTCTTGAGGAAGGAGTGACATACTGCTCGAGAAAAGCAGGTGCACCACGTCGACTGAGGTTTCTTGACTGCCCATAAGTACCAGCACATCTCTCCTCCCCCTCCCACTCTTCACTTTCTCCCGTCTTCACTCTCTTCCACATCCAGTCCGCCGTGTTTCCGTCTCTCAATTGCTTCACCTTCTCTTTTGGGGTTCAGTACCGGACGTTCATTATTCTTCTTAATTATTCATCCAGACTTCAAATAATTTGCGGCTCCACTTCTTGACAATTTGTCGTTCCTCAGTCTGCGAGTATGGCGCCCGTCAAGTCCACCATCATCACAGTTGTTGTGGCCTTCGCTGCCATCACTTCTGCCCATCCCCCACCCACCGCCCCCATCAAAACCATGACCAAGGATACCGCTGGTGCAGCGGGAGGCAGCCACTATGGTGCTCGTAATTCTATCGATCAGCACTCGCCTATCCATTTCACCATGGCCAAAACCGTGATCCCAGGCCAGTCACGCGTGCCGTCGCTTTCCATCCTGGCAGATAAGCCCCTGGAGGAAGATCTGCAAGATGGCGCCCCGTCGCCACAGCCCGGCGAGGACTTCTATTGCCATACCACTCAGAGTAGCGCGAACCTCACCGACGTCAATGATGCCGTGGCCTTCTTCTCTGCCTTGGACAAGCAAGCATGCCAGAACAAGCCGGACAAGTGTTTGAACATGCTCAGCCTCCCCGGAGGAAGTAAGCCCGCCCCTGTGCTTTCGTCAGAAGAACCCTGTGCCCAAGTCTTGAGTACTAATAATGTGTACCATCAAACAGACAAGGTCGACATTCGAGTTTGGACGTGTGGTCCTTCTGAGGACTCCACCGAGTGCTCCAATATCGCTCCACTCCTGACAAACTTGATCAACATCTGCTCCAAGGATTTCACAACGACTGATTCAGACGGCAATACAACCACTGTCACTCGTGTTGGTGGTGTGACCTGGCTCAGCCCTGCCAAGAATGCCTGGATATCGCTCGAGGGAAAGCATCGTGACTGACTTTCGGCAATCGTGGCCGTTGTGTGTCTCCGTTGGTTGGTTGTTCTATTCATTCACCCTTGATTCTCGATGGTGGTTTCCCTTGGTTGTTGTTCTTCTCTTCTAAGCATTCAGGGTTGTTCGGTTCTCTGGCAGGACTCATTGGTGATCGCGGGACGGTGGAATCGAAGTCGTTGTATTTCATTGATGGCACTTCTCGTCAATAAAATTAGAATTCATTCCTAAGACTCTGCATCGGTCTGCTTCGTAGGCAACCAGCATACTTCGTGTGTTCTTCTCGCTGTAGGTTTGCCTATCACCAGCCACTCTTGTACCATGATTCTAGCAGCCTCACTCGGTGAAGCATCCATTCTCTGTAGGGAATAGAAATTTAATGATATCGAAGAACGGCGATGTAAAACTGGAAGCCAGATCATTTCTTGAACAGCGGAAAGAGTTGGGATTGGAAACCTCAAGGGCAGTACCCTAGGTACCCTGTTGGCTCGACCAGCTAGCCGAAGGCACCTGACACGGCATACCACAGACAAGGGTCAGGATTTGACTGTACGCTGAGACGGCCGCTGGGTCTATTTTGTCTAAATCATTGTTCGGGCGTAATGTCATAATTAGGTAGATTAAAGCATCCAGTTTGTAGTGAAAGGTTGGACACGGCTGGTTATTTTTGGGAGGGCATCCCTCTACTAGAGGATATCCCTTTATCTAACAAAACAAAACAAGAGAACTGATTTCAAAGGCCCCAGAAAGAGTATCTCTTGCCGTCGGGTGACAGTGCTTTGGCTTAATTCGGTGCCCATCGTCACGAAATCACGCACATATTCTTTAGTACAATTTAAAGGACGTCTTCTCAAAATGACACGACTCTGACTCCAAATACGAATGACAGCAGCAATTTTTGATTATCGCGCTGATTATATTTACACGTTATCCTACAAGAGCAACAGTACCTAAGTATGCTTGCTCGAGTTTGTCAGAAAGTCGTAGACTGCATGCCCATTACCAAGACTAGACCACCGCGGCTGCCTTCTATTTCGCCCCCACGACTTAGCTATCTTAATCTTGAGACTGGGAAACGTAAGAGTTTATGATCGAGGCAGTGGGATTCAAGCCTAAGCGTGCGCCCTCTTGCCATGTTTCGAGGCCTCCGAGCCTCGGTGTTAGACGGCTCTGTTGACTTCAAAGAAGCATAGACATGACGTACGGTTCCAAAATCAATAGCCATGACTTTGTGGATAGCTGGCGTTCCTCTGGGCTACTTTAGTGGCACCAGAAGCTTCTGAGGCATGAGGTGGGCACAAGGACTGTCACCTCAGGGGTTTTCTCTTATCCCTGAATTTCACCAACCCTTTCTATTAGCCCAACATATCGTTTGATCAATTCAGTTTAAGTACTAACCGAGGTGCATTCAAACAGTCCTTCAAATTTCTCAAGGAGGAGAAAATTGTGGTGGTAATTACGGCCGAGAGACGCTTTCGTCTGTTCAGTCCGTGATCTCGTAGATCGGGAGTTTAGGTACATGATCCCTTTCTCGCTGGCTCATTATTTTCAAGACCACTAGGCCATAGCTTGAATAGTCTGAATCATCAGAGAAAAGATCTGAATTCAATGACTGACAGATAAGCATTCATCTCCATCCATAGTGTTGCTATGTGACTTCGTTGACAAGCTCCGTTGGAAGAATCTCGACCGTTGTAACACGTTTCTGTACATAGTGCTTCAAAATTGTACAGTTAAATACCGATATAGCACTCTCCTCAAGTTATACCGCAAATGAAGATGTCATATCTCTGAGTGAAGTATTTACCATCGTAGTATATCCCCCGAGAATTCGACCACCAACACCCATGCTTGGGAACGTGACGACGAAAATAGATTGAATAATAGTTTTGTAATGCTATAGAGAGAGTTACTCATTGGATCAGTCATGCCTGCTGCCTATTGGAGGGCGAGCCCTCGGTGGTCGACCCATCTTGACACACCTTTCGCTCCATGACCACAGCCCCAAGTCGGGAGAGCGTGGGTACTATCACACCTGGACAGACAGAGCATGGAACAAGCTGTACCCTTTAGTATACCTGGGTAGATACGACATACATTGATAGCCAATGGCGCTTGCAGCGCCAGCCTTGAAAACTACGAGGCAGCCTCACCCACTCGCCCACCCCTTTTTCGGCGACTCCTGCGTTCATCCTCTCCGATAGCCGATCTACTACAGTTAATATCTTGCTAAACCCCACGCTTGCAGCTCGAGTTCCACTACAGGGCATTACTATCCCGCCTTAAGCTTCCCGAACAGAGACATGGAATGTGCTGGGAGGGTGGCTCTTTCGAGGCATTGGAGCCTTCGGAGATCCTACGGCGACGGTGCGTTGCAGACTTTGCAAGCCTGGGCTTGCAGATAAGCAGCTACCCATGCCCTATCACACACATTCTATGGATGGCCCCCCCTCCCTCCCACCTCGAGGCATCCTTGTATGTGTGACCACAGCTTCGGAGTACTCAGGACCATGTGCCAAGCGTGAAGACTTGCCAACGCATGCCCGCCGCACGCGACGGGGCAAAAGGACCTTTTGGCTGAGGGGAACTGATGGAGGTCACACGTGGGGAGTTTGGCTCTCTTCTGTAGAAGGGCAGGATTCGAGTATTTAAGGGGTGCTTCTCCCCGGTTGGGCCGGACTGAAAGACTGTTACTATCATCAACATCACAGACTTCACACATCAAACTTCCAACCTTTTAAATACAATACTTAAGTTCAAGTCTCTTGAATACTATCTTAAGCACAAAATGTCTCCCTGGTAAGCTTGTAAATTATCGAAATGTGGCAGATCGCCCAGCTCGCTTGCCCCAAGTGGCTGGACTGCAGCTGGGGTGCCATTATGCGCACCCTGATGGCCTCTCCCGTGTGCCATCAAGGTTCTCTGAATTGCAGCTAGCTAATCAAATTCTTCTCTTCTAGCTCCTGCTCCTCGTGTGCTGCTGGCTGCGCTGGCTCTTGCTCTTCCTGCTCCTGCAGCTCGTGCGGCGTGAGTTCCCGCCCGTTTCCCGTTTCCTGGGACCCTTCTTTCCAGGTCATCCAAGAAGTCTGACATGAAGCTTGATTGCTGACTATATATAGCACTAAGGATTGCACAGCTGCAGGTGCTAGGGTATATGATAGGGAGATAGTAGCTAGTTCTGTTTTGATACGCTCATTTCTCGCCGTCGAACATTTCAAGGGGATTTGGCCAGTTCATCTGCATGACAAGGAATGCAATATTGGGAACGCCTAGACCGCCATCACTCATTTTGCTGACGATGATCGCACAATATCGTCTCCGTATGCATTTTATCGACTGTGCTGGGTAGTTTGAATTTACATATATGATAACATTAAATTGTCTGTTCTCGAAGCAAAGTGCCTCTCTGTTTTTGTTTGTGTCTCTATCGAGTTAGCTGAGTCCCGTCATTTGACGAGAAAGAGAAGCATGCTCTGTAACTCACGCTGAACTGGGCTTTCCGTGTTGAGACGGGTATCATTATTTACTCTCACCGATGTATCGCTTTCCCAGACTTGACCCAACCCAACAACCAGGGAGCCAACTTCCAGCATTCCAGATAAATCCATCTTCTTGTTCTATGCCCATTTACCAAGTAGTGCCATCAGGCCGGCGCCAAGAGCCATGACTGCGTAAGCGGCGAGAGTCATCCCGATGTTGCTTCTTCGCATCTCGTTGTTGAACATGAACTCATGTGCCATAAGCTCGACCAGTCCGGTGTAGACGAGAATGCCAGCAGAAATGGAGTCAAAGACACCATTGACCGTGAGTGTCGTCAAACTGCCGGGTTGGAGGGACTGGCGGACTCCAAGACCTGCTGCGATCGCGATAGGAGTGGAAAGTGCGTAAGCGCAGCCGAGGACATACGGCATCCAGCCCTTGCCAGTAGGCCAGAGCGCAACTGCGAGTCGAGAGCCTAGACCGAGACCCTCGAAAGTCTGATGGAAAACAAGCACAATGTACAGAACAGTGAACTCGTCGCCGGAAACGGCAAGAGTTAGGCCGATGAAGATTGAATGGAAGATGACGCCGAATTCTAGAATGAAAAGCGCAGTCATTTGCATCGCAAAGGAGTCAGCATCGAAATGCTCGCGCTTGTGCCCCAGATGATCCTCTCCACCGGGCGGGTAAGACACATCTCCAGTGAAGCCACCAGCAGGAGCTGGCGCAGCAGCATTGGAGGCTGTAGAGTCAATAGGCCGATCTAGAGGTGTACCAGTCAGTAAATCTTGATGCTCATAGATTGCAACATGGTAGGGATCTATGGCTTACCTGTCATCTCCTCATCTTGCTCCTTCTTGCTACCCGCAATGAGGTCCATGGCGGGATCATGAGCCTTCACACCTTGAATGTTGAAATCATAACGACTCGCGACCAGTTCAATGAGGAACATGACGAAGATGGTCATTAGACAGATTCCCTCTGGCCAAGAATAGGCCGTGACGGCGCTGTCGTCGGGGAAGCATGGTGAACCCAAAGCCTCGTTGGCAGGCGCAAGCAAGTGAATAAAGGCGGTAGCGACGATGACACCAGAACCAAAATACTTCGCAATGAAGAAGGCGAGCTTGGGAACCCTCAAGCGACTGGATCGTGCTAGAAAAATGGGCAAGAGAGTGCCTAGCAAGGAGCCGATGAGGATGACAAAGACAGCAGAAATGCGCAATCCCATGCGGCCATCATAATCATTGCCTGAGTCGCAGTCGACGACGACGGAGCCGAGACCAGCGTCTGCAGTCGCGGTCGGCACGGGAGCATCGGTAGTGGCCATTTCATAGAAGTTGTCGGATTCTTTTATGATTCTCCTTTCAGTTGAGTCGGGGTATTCCCTGGCGTGGGTCTGAACCGAAGAGGTTGATGTCGCCAAGTGTGCCAACGCAAAGGCAATTGATAGCTGGGGACTTGGCAAGAGGAGAATGAGGTAGGAGGGAGGCGATCTGCCGCTTTTATCGGTCTCACTCCATGGCCCTGGATTCGTGATTGAGTGACTTATGGAGTAGTGTGCTGCAAAAAGCATGTCTGAGAACCTTGATGGCTGAGGAAACGGGTTCGCATTACGCTCTCCACTATTGGCCGGAAAACGGCCAAGACTGACTCGAGAGACATGCCCGCTGGTCAGAATCCATCAAGGTTCTCAGATTGACCTCCCGAATCACATACATCGAACACTATGTACACGCTGCCCAGGGGCCCAGCCTGCATGATTCCGTCTCGGCAGGCTGGATTGGCAGCATGACAAGCTTCAGCTGGCTTCAGCTACGCAGACACGAAACATATAAGACTTCAGCCCTGAACCAGATTCTCCGCTGACTTAACGGCCATGCACGAGTTTGCCCTTCATCCTGACCCGGGCCCGGGAGTCTGCAAGTAGGGGCTTCACAACGAGCACCGCCGGTCACGTCCTCGATACCTACACGACGACCGGGGCTCGAATGGCTCCGTAGAACAGCCTAGCTCAGTCATTTTCCCGACGCCAACCAGAGCAAAGGATCGCTTGCTCGAGTTCAGTAGCCACAATTCCGACAAACGTGCCAGCATTCGGTGCCGCCGTGCCGTTTAAGCGTCGGCTTTCACCAGCTTCCTCTTACTGTTGGAAATAGCACCCCCTTGGGATCCCCTCGGTTATCGCCCAAAGTCACCGAAAACACTCCGCACGATACATCACTGGCATATATCCGCTTGTGGATCGAGCATGCCTCCAACTGTGATGTTTGCCGCTCACTGTCAGCTGATACTTCCTGTATTTGGCACCCAGGTCACTCGACCGACTCACCAACGACAAAAGATGAAGGTGACCGAAGGGTGAAGCCCCGGGAATTGCCTCACTGATTGCTGACTCGTATATGGACAAGAAGCTTCATCTGGATCCATTTAGCTTGGGTAAACCAGCCGCACAGCATGTCTACGCCGGATGTTGCTGGAGGGCAGAAAGTGTAAGCACCTTGATAGACTCGGCTACCCCTAGCCCGCCACGAGGAGATTGCCATATGGCTCTCCCGGTGGAGATTGCAACCCGTTGGTTCGGACTCGACTTTTCTGTATGGGCCGCTAACGTAGACATCGAGACTGCCAACTACCAGAATATGGCGCGATGTCAATTTCTAGTTGGCTATTTCTGGTCACATAGAAAGCGTCGTCGGAAAGTCTACCCTCGATGGCCGGTTAAATCCTGCTAGCCGTTGACTATGTCCATCAAGTCCATGAAAGGGTGAGTTTCCGATGTAGCAGAATAGTTCTGTGAGGGCTTGCAATTCGGCGGATAGTATCGTCTCGGAGGAAGCACTGATATAGTGATCTTGCCTGGTAAGCTGGTCCTACAACTGGTCTCCTCTTCCGGAACAAGTGTCTGGCCATTTAAGATCGAAAAGTCTTCATGTTCAATGCCATGATCTTGTTGAGAACCACTCTTTGTCTCCCATTATCACTAGATTCGGAAAAGAGTCGTCACCTTCGTTGTTGTATTGCAAGTTACACAATCAACGAGGTCAGTGAGTGTAGCTTAGACACATATACAAGCATGGTGGTCATGGGGTATGATCACCGCCCAGAAGTTTTTTGCTTTGCTTAAACACAAGGTATTTAGGAGTCATGGGAGATAAGTAAACAAAACCATTTTCAAAAGAGTAAATATAATCAAGTAGTGCTAGTAGCTAATAATGATGTGTCTTGTTTGAGTTGATAATATTCTTGTGATTATTTCAAAGGAGAGTATGTTGAAATTGGCATTGAAAAGAACAATGTCAATTTTTTGTTAGTCAATTTCAGTCAGAAGTGAGAGACCTTGATGATGAAAGATAATGCATATTATCATCCCAAGTCGGTAAATTCCGAAATGCCCGGCTGGCGCAATGGTAGCGCGCAGGACTTCTACTTGAGAGGAAAGTTCTTGTGTTGGGGGCAATCCTGAGGTTGTGGGTTCGAGTCCCACGTCGGGTGCACGCGTTCTTTTTGGTTCTTCAGGTTGTCAGTCAAGGATTGATTGTAGTCAAGAAAGCAAATTTACCTGTTGAATGATGATTTTTACTATCTAATTTTGTCACTTCAACCTTTTGATTGCTGTATGTGTTTTTTTCTTCCTTTTTTTTATAAGCACCAGAGTTTGTATTGGAACTTGAGTAATACCTGGATTCTTTTTTGCAGAGGTTGGAGAATCCCTTCAATGCGGCCTCGGCACATTAGCAAGGGAAAGCTACCTAGGTAGGTATAACATATTTACCGGAGGTAGGTGGTTAGTGCTGTAATCGATCTGGGCACAGTTGCCCCGCCTTCTTCCGGGCATACCTTCCTCGCTACAGTGTCTTACCAGATGCAAACCCCAGCAGCCATGCTATACAGGGCACCTGCAGGCGGGTAAGTATAGATTCCCCCACTACAGTACCTTACCTTAGTTAAAGTGAACCCGACAAGGGCTTTCTCCTTTCCAGTCCCATTACCCGTCATAGATCGATCGACTGCTTGACTTGGAGCCTCATGGTTTGGCTACCTTCTGTTAACCTCGCTCGTGGCCATAGTAAAACCCCGCTGGCGTCATACAATCGATTGCCATTGAAGCACACCGTATCTCAGGTCAGCCATCGTCTTAACTAAGTCGGCGTCGGTAGAATCAGGTCATCAACCAGACAACCAAAAAGTGTCCTCAAGCCAAGCCAAGCAAGCCCTTCCCCTCGCTCACACTCAGCTAAGGTACCGTACCTAGGTGGGTAGACGGCAGGCCACAGCACCTGGGTACCTCAGGTTAGTGGTCAGCCTGCCCTGTGCCCCACCCCTCACCCCCCACCTGAGGTTCTGCTGGCCCTGGCCTGGGAGCTTCTTCCTCGGAGCCTCGCCTCACCTCGCCTCGTGACAACCAGCCTGACGACGACTTCAACCAACCGGCCCTGTCACACCCAGCCAGCACAGTCGCTACAGCCCTGCCGCCCTTCCGCCGTTCATCACCAGCTTCCAGACCTACGCGCCTCTGCAAAGAAGCTGGTCTCAATTGAGGGTACCATGGGGACCTAGACGCAGCCCAACAAGCGATCACTGGCCCTCACCTCGAAGGAGTGGGCTTGGAATCCCATCTCCGTCATCGTCCAGCGCAGCGCATCACATCACATCACATCACATCACGCCGTATCAAGCAGCTGATCCAGGGCCTCTCCAATGTACCTCAACCCTCGCGACCGCCTAGATCCCCATTTTGGGCACGCGGCGCACGTCAATGGCGACGGCCTGTCTCCCAGCATGTCTCCCGCCGGCAGCTCTACCGGGCCATTCTTCCCCTCGGTCGTCGTGCCTCCGGACCCCTCCGATCACTACGCTTTGGATGAGCGTAGACTCATCGGTCTAAATGAGCTTGCCGCCGCCGCCATGGAGACGGAGAGGCTACCCCTCATCCCCGTACAGACGCTCAAAGTTCCCCAGGCCTCGTTTCCACATCCGTTACCTGCCCTCGCCGTCGCTCAAGAGTATCCTACCACCAGCAACACTAGCCCTGTCCTCTCATTGAATCTTGTCAAGCACAGCATCGAGGAAGCCTCTCCTATACCCGTACCCAGCCATCCAACTACCAATTCAACGTCCTCAGACGAACCCAGCAGCAAGCCTCATGACATCTTCTCCAATTATGACACAGACGACACCGTTACAGACCCAGATCTGGAGGCGTCACGACGCTTGGAGCAGCAAGTCGCTGTTCCCACTGCGCCCATTGCTGTCTTGAAGCCACCATCACTCACTCCAGATCAGCCAAAACATCAGGTTGATGAGGTTGCCTCAAATGACAGATTAGGCGTCGTCTTGGCCCGCAGTACTCCGCAGATGCAAGCCGAGGTGAAGAAGGCCCCAGTCCGCGAGCTTAGCATAGGAGTTCCTCTAGTTGAAGTAGCCGTCAATGAGGTAGTGCAAGATGCAAGTACCCCCAAGACTAGCCAAAAGTTACAAGAGCGGTGTTCAAAGCCGGGCTGTCCGCCAGAGGTTCCATCGGTTCTTCTGACCATTCTTGACAACCCCTCGAGCGCCGACGGCATCCTTGCTAAACAGTATGCTTCTTGTGCTAGGGAGTTATGCCTCGTACACCTCCAGAAATTTGCAGAGCTCATGGCCACTATCGCGCAAACATCAACAACCCCAGTGGCAGGAGACCATCAGGGCCAACTGATGCACCAAACCGGGATCGGGACTAGATGGAAACTTCTTCCGCGAGGTTTTCGAAGACGGACCAGCCTATCGCGTTCACCCACGCCTAACGATAGCTCACCACCATTCAAAAGGCCGAGACTTGATCGGTCACCATCGTCATTGTCCAATCCCGTAATGGTGAAGGAAGGCGGCCGACGACCAACACCTGACATTGCACACGATGAGGCATATAGGCAGAAGATGCTCGCCGAGCTGGGGCAGCGGTTTACGAAAAAAGGCGAAGAAGAGCTTTCACGCGGCGAACTCACGAATAGATTGATTCATGAGATTCTTACCAAGATAAAGTCGCCAAATGCAGACCCAAGAAATGGTCCTGTCGATGCTGGAATGATGACTGGGCCTGAAGCTGCTTCTGTGCTCAACAAAGGCATTCTTGATGTGCCCATATTCACACAAGGCCAACAACAGTTCCAATGGAGCAACACAGACCGACCTATTTCTGAGCTTTTTCGACGTATGGAGGACCTTGGGAGGACAGTATCCGTGCAGATACCTTCAATCCATTGGGACTCACCCTCCGCAGAAAGGCGGACTCTCATCGATGTTCAGCAAAGGTTTCTCGAACACAAGTCATCTGAAGACCCGTGGAATATACTCGATTTGCGGAGCCCTCTTCCGCCATCTGTTCTACCTAGTTTCTTGACAGGAGAGAATTGTCAACTCCTTCCGCGCATGCGTGATGCCCTGTTGATGGGTAACTGCGCCGAGAGGACAAAGGCGATGCGACAGGAGTGGAACGAATGGACAGAACTCCTCGAGTGGGTGCTTCTGTCAGAGGGTGGACACAACACTGCTCCTCATATGGATAGTCATGGCTGGGCCACCTGGATCACCGTTCAGGAAGGCCTTTTCGGGTTTGGTTGGATGGCACGGCCTACTGAGGCGGAGCAAGCTGCCTGGATGGCAGATCCTATACATTACACAGGAGGCAACTGGAGGTTCCTCATACTGAAGCCTGGACAGACAGTCTTCTTCCCCACTGGCACCATCCATTTTGTCTTCCGCTTACGGAGCGAGCAGACGCTCGCCGTCGGTGGTCACGTTCTTCAATGGTCCGGAATCGAGCGGTGGATTATGGTCATACTGAACCAGCTGAAGAATCCGAGCATTACCAACGAGGACCTAGGCGTCGATGTTTTGAAATACGTGCGGACTGTCGCGTCGCTGGTAACCAACCGGCTGAAGCAGTGCAGACTCGGCGAATTGGGCACTATCGAAACAGCACAACGTTTCCTCGTGCTGACAAACGAAGTGGAAAGACATTTCCAAAGAAAGAAGAAGAAGAAAAGCAAACGATGATGATCTTCCTGTTCTCGAAGGATAGGAGGACTAATAGTCAGTGCGGAAGCGATAATGACAGGAATTCGGGAAGCCGAGTTCGTCTCAGCTGGAGCTGGGGTGATCTTTAACTAGAGGGCGAAACATTATGCTGTTCATCCTTGGTACAACTTCAGGAGCATGGAACCATTTGAATCGTTCTCACGCCTCGCTCTGTTTTCGACCAGGATTGAGCCGTTGCCTTTGGGGCCTTGGCCAAGGTGGAGTAGACGGAACATAAGGCAGTATCATGAGAGGCAGGCTTTGTCCTTCATCTACATGTATCATCGAGCATGATAAAGACCGGCATACTAGTGCGCAAGCATAGCCGGAGCGATCATTTGCAGGGTTTAAAAAGCATTTTGGGAACAGTGTTATATTAGGAACTGTACGATACGACTCACGGATGGGGTTTTACATGGGGGCACAAGCCGGGATTGCTAATTGGAACACATTTGCAAACTAGCTAGATCTGTTGCTATATATTTTGCATGGTTTTGACTGTATGATGAATAATCTCTCCTTTGAACGCTGAACTGGAGTGTCAGCCCCTTGAGTTGCAGACCGATTTCCTTTCTATCAGCTACACTCCCTTGAGTTGAAGCTCGCGGTTCTTGGCGGCATTACTGCTGCCTCGCCATGGTCCTATCTACATCCTGCGAATGTACCCAGGGCCAAGTAGAATCCCTGTGCTATCCGGCCACTGTAAAGCACTTATCTGGGACGAGCCGTGCCCATATCGCCTGAAGAGGTCTATTTGGACGTGTGTTAAGAATGATCGCTATACATACAGATCAAGGCGCGCCTTCAAACGCCAATTTTTGAGTATGATTTTGATAACCCAGAATCCACTGTTGAAGCATACAACCCGCCCAGCCTGTCTATGTTGAAAGATCTATGTCCTCCATCGCCAGAGCTCTCTATAATCTCCCGTGGCTCAACGCCCATTAAGCCCATTAACACCGTTAGCTGAGGACTTGGTTTCCCGCACGGCTCTCTCCAATGCCTGGAGCACGTCCGCCTTGAGGTCCTCGGCATCTTCGACACCGCAGCTGATGCGCACGAGGTCGTCGAACACGCCGACGGCCTCGCGCTGGTCCCGCGGGATGCCGGCGTGCGTCATGCTGGAGGGGACCTCGCAGAGCGACTCGACGCCTCCGAGGGACTCGGCGAGCGTGAAGACCTTGGTGAGCTGGCAGAAGCGCTCGGCGGCCGCGTGGCCGCCGTTGATGCGGAAGGACAGCATGCCGCCGCCCATGCCGTCCCTGTGCTGCTTCTTGGCGATGGCCCTGTGCGGGTGCGAGTCCAGCCCCGGGTAGTTGACCGCGATGACGTGCGGGCTCGCCTCGAGGGCGTGCGCGACAGCCGTGGCGTTGCGCGTCGCTTCCCGCGCCCTCAGGTGCAGCGTCTTCATGCCCCTGTGTGCTAGCCAGCAGTCGAACGGCGACGGGACGGCGCCGATGGAGTTTTGGAGGAACGTCAGCCTCTTGTGGAGCTCGTCGCTGTTGAATGCCGCCACGCCCATGACCACGTCGGAGTGGCCATTGATGTACTTTGTCACGCTGTGCACGACGATGTCGGCGCCGTGATCTAGCGGATTCTGGACGTAGGGGCTGAGGAAGGTGTTGTCCACCACGACCATGACTCCTCGCTCATGCGCGGCTGTCACAACTGCTCGTATGTCCACCAGCCTCAGCGTGGGGTTGCTGGGTGACTCGATCCATACCAGCTTGGTGGCATCTGTGATGTGGTCGCGGATGTCGACCTCGATCTCGGGGGTGAATGTGACTTTGACGCCGTGCGCCTTGGCGACTTGAGTGAAGTAGCGGTGGGTGCCGCCGTAGACGTCGGAGACGGAGATGACATGAGAGCCGGCAGCCAAGCTCTGCAGGATGGTGGCGGTGGTTGCGCTGCCGGAGCTGAAGGCCAGGGCGTACTTGGCGTGCTCTACGGCGGCGACGGCGGTCTCGAAGTTTGCGCGGTTCGGATTGCCGCTGCGGCTGTAGTCGTAGGGCCCGTACGGGTTGCCGACGCTGCTCTGGGCAAATGTCGTGCTCAGGGAGATGGGCTCGATGACGGCGCCGGTGGTGGGGTCGTGTGGTGACCCCGCGTGGACGGCGAGGGTACCGAAGCCCTGGACCGGGGAGGGAGCGCGTGGGGGAGTCTCGATGGGGTGGTCGTGAATTGGGACGGTCATGGTGGCGGTGGGAATATGCTAGCTACCTGAACGGGCAGTAGGACCTGAGGAACAGGATCTCGATCAATTGGACTGGCTCGTGAAGGCGTGCTGCTGCTGCTGCTGTGACGCCGTGGGATGGGATGCGCGCGCCTTTATGCAGCTCGGATACCGCGATACGGCTGTCGGTGGAGTATGTGATGGAGTAATGATGGGGTGATACAGCTATGGCGCAATCGCCCAGCCGCTCTTTATTTTTTCTCTATTTTTCTTCTCTTGTTGCGTAACTTTTCCCCTGCCGAAGCGAAGCGCCCTTATGCGTGTCTCCACGCCCAATCGCACTGCTCGTTATGGCCTGCCTGGGCACGGGTCCTTATATAAGAGGAAAACGGTGGCCCGTCAGCGTTCCCAGGGGGATGGCGATGAAAGGGCGTGGGTGAGATTGAGGTGAGTCAAAGGCGATGGCGTCAGATGGTGCCAGAGTGAGGACCTGGTTCCAATGCGTCAATGACTTGACCGCTGGAATGGAATGGGATGGGAATGCGATCCGGGACGGCTACTGTATTTGGTGCCTTTTTAAAGTTATATACGATTGTGCCGGATCTGACTCCCGGTCTTCTGAATTGGCACAATTCAAAGATACGAGTAAGGAGGCGGATTGGTGCTTAAGTAAGGGTTTGGGAGGTTGCGGTGCGACGAGACCGGTTCTTCAGTTTTGGCCGTTGTCGTTTCCGTTTGAAATCAAAGATGATGAGCAATCAATTCCAGCATCTTCAGCTCACCGCCACGGTTTCAATGCTGCAGCTTGACTGAGAATGCTGGTAATGAACTCTATTACTCTTCTACACCGCACATACTGCATAAGTCGGCTCCGGGTATCTGCGGTCTTTGCTCGGAGCTACCTACTGCATAGTATATGATTGACAAATTTAGAATCGTTCAAAAGCTGCCGTTTCTTCCACTACGTCGTGTTTAGTAATTGCTACCCAATCTCCGGTTACACAGACCGTGGAGCTGGGAAAACACCCCTGACCTGCAGCTTCGACGCAGCTCAACATGTTTAACGTAGGCATGCCAGAGATCCCGGACGGACTTTCATCCTGCTGGTTTCGCCAGCTTCCGGCTCTTCTCCAGACTAGACATCATCTCCCTGAGCTTCTTGCTTGACTTACCTGGAAAGAGTCGGCCGCTGACGCAAACCCCATCACCTTCTAGGATTGTGAATTCGATTATACGATTATACTCTGTCTCCCTGCTTGCCGTAGCAGGATCCATCCTCCTCGAGAAGCAACCGAGGTAGGTAGTTGCGCCCACAGTAGACTCTGGCGCTGGTTGGTGTTGTTCATCTTCCATCGTCCTGACAATACTCCCTGTGCATCCCCCAGCTTTCCCCGCTTCACCTTCCAGGGGTCTTCCGCTAGCCTGCTGGATGGAGTCATTGTGCATGGTTGTCAGGGATGATGAGCGTTTGCCAGAAGCAAAGAGCATCCAAATGTCAGGAACGTGTCAGAGGGCTTCGTGGTGATTTCCATTGTGCGTAGCATTGACTATCGAGATTCGCGCAGAAGCCACAGGCGGCGTTGCCCTGACTTGTACAGCATCTCAATGAGGGGCGCGCCTTTGACAGGCTGAGAAGAGGTATGAGGTAATCATCAGCAGCAACAGCAGCGATCACATGCGATGTGTTCCTGCAGCTGGTAAGATGCTTATTTGACAATTGATCACTCACGGCCAACGCCTGCAAATCCTCCTTCAAGCCAAGGCCAAGAAGGGGCAAACACACGCGCAAGCAGATCTCCTCTACGCAAATGCCGACCGAATCACAATACAGCGCCTTAGAACCTCCCGTCCAGCATGTCAGCCAGCCAGCCAGTCAGTGCCGCTCCGGGCTTGAGAAACTGTAGAAAGACGAAAAGAGACAAGAAACTGGTTGGCCAAGTTGTGAACGGCAGATTCGGCTACTGGACTATCCGGGTGGCTTTGAAGACTTGCTTAACTACATAGGTAACTGCAAGTGCGCAAATTCGCCTCCGCAGGCATGTCCGAAGCAGAGCACACACACTTCAGATATCTAGGGCCCCAAGGGCCCCAGGTATGCCAGGCTCCAACTTACCTACTGCGTAGTAGGTACATGTAGACACTTCCCAACCATTGTGGCCACCCGTGCCGGCCATATAGAGCCTGCGATATAGCAGATTAGATAGCAGACAGCAACATGAGCAGCGCACTTAGTCGAGCAGTGGGTGATGGCGATGATGCATATACGCGTGTAGATCTCCCACAGCGTCCTCGTTAAGGCTAAAGCCCCGTAGCAGCGAGCCAATCCACTTTTCCCGCTGTCTGCTGTGCCCTCCAGGGCTGGCACTCGGTGGCGCGGGGCACACGGAACACTTGAGGCCCATCAAGTAAAAGTGTACAGTGGCCTGGAAGGGCGGGTCCAATCGGGCTTCTCAAGCCCCCCGAAACTTCAACGTCCGGACACCTCAGAAATCACAGGCCGCCGCACGCATCTACATCCACACATACACACCACCACCGCCGTCTCCGCCGCCCTTTGGACGCCCCCCTCGTTTCTCGCTACCCCCCTTAAATCGCGTGGGCGCCTTCAACAACGCCCTCGCTTGCATATGATCTCCAGGGCTTTTGGCTTCTGAGACTGTACACTCGTCTGGAATCGCACCACTTCCAGGCACGTCTCTCTCCTCGGCGAGTCTCCCGAGTCCGCCGTTCCCGCTTCCGCAGTTCAACACGCACTCACGCACGCACAACGACCTGGCAACCCGCCGCGATCCTTCAGCAGCCGCTATGAATTGGTTCCTCGACCGTCAGAGACGGCCGTCGCCTCACTAGTCCCGAAAGCTCCAACATCTGTTAAAGACACCAATACCACTTCCTCCCTGCTGTCATGCCGCCTAGACGATCACACAAGAAATCAAGGGCTGGGTGCCGGCGGTGCAAAGCCCGCAAGATCAAGTGCGATGAAGTGCATCCACGATGTGGGAATTGCATGAAGCACGGAGTCCCCTGTGACTTTGAGAACCCTGAGATCTTGGAGGACCTGCAAGTGGCCGCCACTCCTGCTGCTGTTACAGAGAGCCCTGGATCTGTTGCGACCCCCGGGCCCTCTTCACGCAGCTTCGCGAGACCTCACATTCGCCGGCCAAGTCATGCCTCGAATGCTGTCCGCTCACCATCCGTGCCGGCCTCAACCCCTCTGTATCAGCAGCCGCCCACGCCAACGGTCTCATTCCAACCTGTCGGCCGACTCATGGAACTACGACTGATGCACCAGTACACCAGCCACACCTCAAAAACACTATCCTTCTCAGCTCCAATCACCGAGGAGATATGGCGGACAGCTGTCCCCAATCTGGCGTTTGCAGGCTCAGCGCATCTCACCGACGGCGTGCTTGCTGTAGCGGCCCTTCATCTCCGCAGCTTGTGGCCCAACGACAAGGAGTTGGTCCGCGCCAGTCATGCTTATATGGCTTCATCCCTCTCCGAGTATAGCGATACTTTGAAGCGGGGCATAAATGGTAACAATGCAGAAGCACTGTTTCTTACGGCAAGCTTGATTGCTACACAGAGCACGGCAACTCGGATATTCACAAAAGACGAGTCGACATTTCAGATACCCGGGTTCGGCGATAGTGACAAGGCGTACCGCGTTGCTGGAGGCTATGCCCCACCATTGAGCTGGTTTCATGCTTTCCAGGGCGTCAAGGCTGTCGTGGCTGCATCGTGGCAGTATCTCAAGCATAGCGGCGTCGTCGTCCCAATTATCGACTCCCAACCGCCTCTCCTACTAGACATTAGCACCGCCAAGGAAGGATTTTTTGGTCATCTGCTCGATGATCTCAATGAAGAGCTCGCAGCCCTTGCTCCAGATGGCTTGGTGACTGACACCCCCGCTGTGAGTGGGTTATCAGCTCATCTTGCAATGCACACCCAGCCCCAAAATATCGTGACGAGCACACGGCAAGCATACGAGCATGCAGTTGCGACTCTCAATTGGGCACACAAGATCCCTTATAGGGGCGCATTGGCTTTTCCCGCTACTGTCTCTAAACGCTTTGTCGAGCTCCTGGAAGAACGTCAACCTCGAGCCCTTGCGATACTGGCCTCCTTCTTTGCCCTGCTTAAAACGCTAGACAACGTCTGGTGGTTGCAGGGTATGGCAAGACGCGAAGTTCTGGGTGTAGTGTCGCTGTTCAACTCGGACTATTTCGGTCACGAGGTCGAAAGAAAATGGTGGCCTCACCTCGAATGGGCTGTGCGAATAGCATTGTATGATGACGGCCAGGAGGGCACTTTTGTGCCTCCAGAGATCTGGGGAACGGATTGGCAAGCTGAAGAGGTCGAGAAACCTCCAAACTCCAAGTTCACCAGCCATATCGAGATGCTGAGCCAAATGGCTTCTGCTATGCAGGCGTTACCAGCGCCAGCCGATGAGTGAGCGATCCCTTCTCCCATCGTTGTATGCAAGTCATCATTGACGCATATCAAGGCTCTTGAGCAAAAGAGTGCTCAATCTACCCAGCCCAAACCTAAGCTCGCTCGTTTGTGGTACGGTGTAAGAAGCGTTTCACGATAAAGGCAGCCCGTAGCTGTCCCTCGAAAATTGGCATACAGCCGATCTTGACACTATAGGTTCTGTGACAGCTAGAGCTTACACTCGACGACCCTTAGTACAACACGTTGAAACCGGAAGTGTGGCCAAAGGTCGATTTCACATTAGTCTAAGACATCATTGAGAGGCGTTGAGAGGCAAGGCATACCACCGCCTTATAGCATCATCTAGGAGCGGCATATTTGTTTCCGGAGTGGTTTACCAATACTGTATCAAAAGCGAAGTGGGTGGGCGTAATTGGCGTAAATATCACGCAGGAAATAATGGCAGGCAGACCGAGACGGCAAGGCATTTGATCTCGTAGGCATCGAGACAGTAAATATCAATTCTCAGTGTAACCTGGTTCCTAATGCCCTTTTCTAAACTGTCCTTAACGCCATGCCAAAGATGAATTACACACACCTCGAGGCTGTGTTCATTTCCTCTTTTTCTTCGGCTCATCGACACCGAGAGGAACGCCTCCCTCTTCGTCATCCTCCTCGACATCACGATTCCTCTTTAGACCCTTCATCTTCCTCGTTTGTAGATCGCTCATATCAACCTTGCCCATGTGTATGCGGCCCAGCTTGTCACCCATAATATCGGTCGAGATGTTCTTCTTTGTCCTCTCCTCTGCGGTCTTGGCCTTCTTCATTGCCTCCTTCAGCATGTCTGCATCAGGCTCCTTCATCCGCCCAACCCGGAAGTCCATCCGCGGCCCCATCTCCTCGACCTCTACCCGCGGTAGCCTTTGGCCGCTGCGGGCAGTCCTGATGAGATACACTCGTAGGTGGATGGCTGGCTTCTGGCCGTCGGTCAGACCCGTCGCGCTGGCGCTCGGCTCCTCCGCGCTGACCACAATCACATATCGCAGACCCTCGACATCGATCTTGTCGGGGCTGCTGTCGCCTCGGAAGAGATCCAGCAGAAGAGTCTTGGCAATGGTGTACTCATTCGTCACAGTGCTCTCAAACGCGGAGCCCGCAAACACCAGCATCGGACGCATGCCCACGGGCACCTTCTTGGTCTTGAACTGGCTCAGCTGGCGGTAGCTCTCCGGGTCGAGGTACAGCTCCAGCATAGCGAGGATCTTGTGGGCAAAGGTCGACACGAGGGTCAGGGCGTGGGGCCGCTTCTTGCTGCTGCTGCCGAAGACGAGCAGCGAGCAGTCGTTCTTCTCGGAGAAGAACTCGAACGAGGCCGCGTCCTCGAAGGGGTGGATGGCGTTCTTCTTGGTGAAGCGCTTGGCCAGCGGCTGCCGCAGCGAGAACAGGTCGCCGAGCGCGTCCTGCGTCACCTGGCTGCAGGTCGTGCCCCGCAGGAAGAGGCATGTCTTTGGGTTCTCGACGGCCTTGGGGGCGCGCTTCTCGAGCGCTCGCTTCGAGCGCGCATTGCGGGGGTTGCTGTGGTGCGGCGTTAGGATGAGTCAGGGATCATGGGAGGATGAATTGATACATACATTTGGCGGAGCATCTTGATGTAGTCAATTGCACCAGGTTTTCAGAGGCTTTCCGCTGGTGTGGCTGTGATAGTCAAGTTTGGCGTTGATGGTCTCAGAAAATTTCTTGTGTTATCAGCTTATCGGATAAGGTTTTAGTCGCTCCCCCGCCTGATAAGGTCGGACCGCTCCAACTGGCAACCAGGCAATTCGAGGTGCATGTCCCACCACCACAAGCTATTGGAAGAACCAGGAAGTTTTACATTCATTCAGAGAAAAAGGTCTATTCGTTATGAAAGGTTTCATTATCGATCAAATGCTTGTGAATAATTGCTCCATACATTGTCCATCGAAAAGCCAGGCGTACCTCCCAGGATTGATGGCTCTGCATATAGCAGCCCTGGTCTCGGAGAGTTCCAAGATGGTAGGCATAGATCTCTATATGGCGACTTGAAACACCATCTCGCTTGATGGGTCTCATTACGGGGCATCCCAACAAAATGCCGGGTTTTCAGGGACAGCCCTGTGGCAGAAAGCCTATGCGGCAGCGGTATCCGGACGAGAAGCATGAATATTGATCTCAGCTGGCGCCGCAATACTTGCAAATCTGTGAGCAGACAGGAACGGAGTCGCGCATGATGGTCTTGAAAGATCTCGAGAGAAAATGACGGATCTTTTGGAGAGAAGAATGAATACGTCATCATTCTGCATTCTCTTCAGTTCTCTGCAATTATGCCAAAAGAAGATCTCGGCGGCCATTTCAGGCAAGACATTACGTGACAACCGTGCTTGGTTAGAGTTTTGAGGCTCCGACACAGAACGGCGCCAGAGTGACCCTGAGGTTGCAGACGAGGTAGATCCACGGCCCCAATCCAACGAGGGGAAGAAATTACACGTGTAGAACAATCGAAGAACCAAGATATGCATCCATAAGCGGGCAAAGCCGCGCATCAAGACCTCATTTAGAGCAGAGCTGCATGCTGACCACAAGTCATTCGCGATCCTGGCATGCTCTGTATTAGTTGCCTTCTTATAGGACGCCGCAAATCGTGGTGGCTTTTTCAGGAACGGACGGACAGTCCTCGATGTCGCGTTCGCGTAAGGCAAGCGCGGTGCCTCCCGTGGCCCCTATCTTGGGACAGTTCGGCTCTCACTGTGGCTCTAGCCCCGGAAAAGGAATGGTGAAGTACCTTAGAGTGGTCTCACAGATTTTAAGACAGGCGGCCACGCGAATGAGAATTCCCCTCACGGCTCGGCTGTGGTTGGGTGGAAAGGCCCCAAGGATTGGCTGATCAATTGCCGATTTGTCCAGTGTTTCTCAGGGACAGGAACACCTTGTGTGAGACATCGAACCCCTCGTCGACTGGTCCGTCGATGCAATTGGACGCGGCCTTTCGTCTAGGCAAGAGAAACTTTGGCTAGATTCGAGGCCGTCGTTATCGTGACAAGATAACATAAAATGCTGGACTGTAGCCCGAGTCTCTTCACCTGAAATCACCAACCAAGGATGGTGAAGGCTGCAATAGCAATGGCAGGCGCGAATGCAGGTATTGGCGAGTGGATGTGATACTATGCACAGTGAGTTCCGGGAAGATGGAGACGATTCACAGGAGCAATCTCGCGAGACTGCTTGTCCTGGAGGTGTAAGATGTGGTAGCAATTTTCCATCCCAAGGCCATCCCTGACCCTTGTCCGCCGGCAGGCCGCTTGACTTTGAGAGTGACCCCTCCCCTGCTCGCTCCCCCTTTTTCCCGCCAACGCGTCCAGACTCAGAACGGAAGGGCAAGAAAGTTAGTTTTCAAGGCGGGCTCGCTAGGATATCATCCTCTGTGCTTGTTGAGTCGTGGGCAGCTGCAGCATAAGGTGCAGTAGTTCATGGTGATATGTATGGTGTATGGAGTACTGTCTGTACAAGATCGGTTACACATCTGCCCTTCTGGTCCTAGTGGCGTACCTAGGTAGTACCTGGTCCCAACCGCCTTCTTGCTTGCCCGTCCTGATCACAATTGTGCTGTCTCCTGTAGTTTCAATTAAGCAGATGGTACCGAGAACCTGCAGCTGCTCGTGCTGTGCATGCTTTTTTGGATCTCTTCTCCCAACCCCCGTCTTCCATCCTCGTTGACGTGGACGAGAACCGTGATTTTCGAGGCCAAGTCTCGAGACTGAACAGCGCGAACTTGAATAGCCCAGTGTATTCATCTCTGAAATTGTGAAGAGCCAGAGAGTGCAATTCGTTGCCGATCCTTGACCCGCCCAGTCCACGCAGTTTTGGGAGAGCAGCTCCGAGAAGCCAAAAGCAAGAAAAAGGTCACCTCCGCTCCGGACACTAAACTGCACCACACTGCGCTGCGCTGCGCTGCACTACCGCTCCTTGGTCGACCGAGGATCGCTACCTCCGCATCAACCAGCAAATCCAATTGTCGCCGCTAATACAGCACGGAGGCTGCCTACCTGATCGCTTGAACGTGGAGCTTCGAAACAGGCAACGCCATCCGCATCCGTCAGCCATTGTCTCCTGCCGTTTGTGTGGACTGTCTGAAAGGAGTCCTTCCACCGTCATCTCAACTCCGGCCGCCTTTGTGAGCACTTCACCTCACATCTCTATCCGGCCGCATTTGGACCTTGTCCCTCGACTCGACTCTGTTCCTTCACAATCAAACAGGAGTAGTCGAAGAAATCGGGCTCAAAGTCACACTCACCCCGTCAGGCGTGCATACCCGCAGTGCCTGCATGCAAGAGCGCGAGACCGATCACTTCGAAGCGCTGACAACCACAGCGAGCAATATATTGAACCCACCCACCTTATCTCAGTCCTTCGATGCCGTCTTGGATCGACCAGCCTGACAGCGGTAATTTATCTATTACCCAGCTGCCATAGAGCCACGACGGCTAATTGCCGTACTTTAGCGACGTCCCATCCCGTCTTGATCCCAGGTTCTACGTCAAGGTCCAGCGCAGACTGAAAAGTCGACCAAAGACGTGCGCGCGACTCAGTCCCGGCGTCCCACGACTCGCGGCGAGGGCCAACACGGCCAAACCTCATCCCCTCGCCGTTCTGTCCCTGATTGTCAGCGGGTCAGGCCGCTCCCGCGCATGCGAATAAATCATGACAACGATGGAGGCCGCTCCCAGTCCTGCGGGCTCCATGCCGCAGCCGTACCCTTCGCTTCCCGCTTCGCCCACGTTGACGAATCCTGATATGATTTTACCCGACTACGATCGCGCCGCTTCCCCTGCAGACGATCTCGACCTGCGCGCCCAATCGCCGCTCATGATGTGGAAGAATGCTCATGCGGCTGCGTCTGGCGACCTACAGCACATGTTCACCACACCGTCGCAGCAGCTTCGCAACTTCCAATCCGGACCCATGACCCCAACGACCCCAATCATATACGGCAACGGCACCATGCTTTCGGACATTGGCGAGGTCACCGAGGTGGAAAGCACACCGGGCAGGCCTTCGCCGGGCAGACGCCAGACGGTGATTCGTGCCTCTGATTTTCGTCTAAACGATGAAGGCAGTGGCAGTGATACTGCCATGCGATCTTCGCCTACAATGGGCTATAGTAGGGTCAAGCAGCAGGCCAAAGAGATGGCAGCGCAGCGGGAAAGGAGATCCTCCATGGAGAGCAACAGCACAATAACTACGCAAGACGCTGCAGGGCTTTTCGCCGATTTCGACGACACAGTCAGTGTGGGGGATAGCGTTTTTCAAGGCGACGATGAAGAGAGTCTGGCAAGCTCATATGTTCCAGACGACGCCCCTCCGCGGCATGATCAGGCTCCTGCACGTCTTGCAACCAGTACAGAAGTTCCTGTAAATGATGCTGGGAGCAACAGATACTCGACCGCATCCTTGAGTCAAAGAGCAGAGCAAATCCTGGCCAATGCGAAACGAAGGTTGACGGTAAGGTGTTCATGGACTGTTGTGGTAATAGGAAATGCTAATTAGACGCAGACTATGGAAGGTAATCTTAACAGAGCCCGGACATCGCTCTATATCGCCTCCCCTACATCAATGTCTTCTCTTGGTTCTGATGGATCAACACCATCACCTCCAATTGTTCGCGCAGCAACGGCGCTCAACCACTCCACGACAGATATGTCGTCTCCTGACTATTCGCCAGGCCACAGCAGGATGGGTAGTGACAATTCCCTTCGAATCGGACTGCCAGTCAAGGTGTATCCGCAGCGATCTGCCAGCGCCCTTGGAGCCGCAGGAGGCTACCGACAGCCTTTGACGGGCTCGAAGAGCGTACCTCATCTTAATGGGCAGTACACACGTACGACGCCCAGAGAAATTGCTCTGGAACCATTGAGCGAGGACGAGGTAGCGCCAACTCCTCAACCAGATCCTTCTAGCGAGCTCCAAGGCCAGAAGCTAGAGACATTCCTTAGCCCCACATTTGGATCATTCAACGAGCGAGGCCTCACTCGCTCAGCTTCTGTGGCGCAGATGAGGGACCTCAAAGATCAAATGAAGGACTTGAAGGGCAAGATTTCGAGCCTGCGAGAACAAGCCCGGGCTGACAGTATGAAGAGGCGGAGCTTGCAAAGTCTACGAACACCAAGTCCATTCACTCATGCCCAGGTCGACCAATGGTATGCGGAACCAAAATCAGCGGAAGGACCTGGCTCAGGAAGTGGTGGAAACGGTAGTGTTGGACGAAATCCTTGGAACGGAGAATTATCCAGCGTTGATGGGGAGAACGAGGAGGGCACGAAAACACCACAGAATGCTACCGAGGATGAGGAGTCGATAATTAGCAGCTATGACGATGCGGATCAAGCCGTAACTCAGCTTAGCCACCCGGGTCATATCGCTATTGGGCGGGACACCACGGACTCAATACCCGAGGAAGACGAAGAAGAGGACGTCGACGATATGCAGACCGAGAACGGGGACGTGGAAGAAGAACCCGAGGCACAGGATGTGGCATACGAGAGTGAGAGTGGCGAATCACTTTATCATGATACTGTCCAACAGCAGCTTTCTCATGAGGATCGTGAAGACGCTTTCGATTATGAGCACTTTTTCCTCCATAGTGCAATGGGCACAATCAGCCAGCAACGCTTGGATAGAAGGCGAAGCAGGGAAAGTTTCAGCTCTGATGACTCAGTTGAAACTACGAGAGGTCCAATTGTCGCTCCCAAGAGCGACAGCGATACCAAGTCTCACACCCTTTCACGAAGGGCCAGCATGGCTTCGACGTCTACAGACGACTCGTTCGCCACGGCTGACGAGGGACGATCGAGCAGACACGGGAGTGGCGGCAGCCGAAGCAGTAAGGAGGAGATTGTCGAGCAAATTGTGAACATGCCTTCTCTCGCGAGGACTGATAGTCCGGAGACGGCCAAGCGCGCGACATTTAGCCCAGGTATGATCAACAGCACCATGATCAACGGCCGTGGTTCAAGTTTCGAAGATCCGAGAACCCCACAGGCACAGGTGATGAACTCAACCATGCGGCGCCCTATGAGTACCTCGGCCACCATGGCGCATCGTCCATCGATTTCCTCATTCGAATCCACGGGGACAAACCGCAGCTTTCCTCTTGTCAACAGGAAGAAAGCAGCAAGTACTGGAATCCTGACACCGCAAGGCTCGTCTCCTGATCGAGACCTCAAGGCTATCTCCGATTCATTGATGAACGAGACTGCTAGTATTTACGAGAGAGAAATGAACGGTGATGACAGCACCCTTGTCAACGGTGGTCACAAGTATACCGGTAGCCTTGATACTGCGACGGCGGGTAGGAGCCCCCTGAAAGGCACTATGGGAGCCAATGACCCAGCAGCGATGCAAACTCTCCCAAGAGAGGATCAGTATTTGGTTGAGCGGCTTGTGGCGAGCCTGGGCAGGTGTGTGCTTGGCCTCACTGAGAGCGGACGTGCCAGCTCTGAGAGTCGCATGTACAGGAGAAGGATTGAAATGGCAAGAAGAATACTCGAGGGTCTCGAAACCGTATAACCAACCCCGTTGGCGATGCGCGTCTACATCTTTCACTTCCACCCACAACTTCTAAAAAGATATTATTACCACTGGGTTCGGCGTCACGATGGAGAACAGGCGCAAACTTCATTGGAGAAGTGTTGCGGCTCGCGCAGATTCCAAATTACGGCGTCTACACTATGTCCTACCAGGATTTTTATTCCACCAACTTCGATGTACGAATGCAGCGGCGTCACGTCTTCATGACTGGCGGTCTTACGATTTCGCGCCTGGTTTTGGCGCTGGTTCTATACCCTATTTTTCGTTTGTTACATTCTTGGACCGCTTATTTATATGTACATATCTTTACCATGAGAAATGGCTACTGTACGAGAACGAGAAACAATCATGAGAATAATGTATGGTATTCATAATGGTATGAGGTGTCATCATGGAGTATTTTGGTTGAAAGTGCTTAAGATTGTGATAAACTCTATGTCAACCAACAAATATGCCTCTACACCAACACTTGATGTAACCAGGCTATCTCAGTCATCTGGTCCTTCTCGAGATTTGACTGAGTAACGTGCTGCCCCAGTGCTATGGCGAACATTATGTTGTGCTAGTCAGAGAGGTGAGGCTGTGTCCACTCCATGGTAGAATTTCTAGGAACTTGAGAAGTCTATGTTAACTGGCAATTGATTGGCCAAAGAACACTGATCCTGGCGGATGTTGTAGACTGGACCCTGGAAAATAGGGCTGAGAGGTCAAGCAAGGGTCGTGTGTGTCTCATTGAGTGCGGTTCTGGAAACGCGTCGATAACAAAGACGCGACTCTCTTTATCTTTGGCGTGCTCGATAAGGGTGATAAGGTGGCTGCCGACCCCACCGCTTTACATACCTACCTAGGCTTTTGGGGCTTAACGACCTCCACCTGTCAAAACAACAATCACGACATCATCATCGCCATCTCAGAATAGCACGATTCGACCGCTTAGGCAAAGGTCTCGCATATCTGAAGCTTCTTCATCAAAGTACACTAGCTGTTTCTGCCAGTCCCCTTGGTCTCAACGCGTTATCATTCTGCGACTTTACAGTCAGCAAGCGCATCAATAGTAGGAAGCGCCAGTACCCAATTTGCGACTACTCCAGATCACGACCATGGATGCAGGCGACCAATGGTTGCTTAGCATCTTGCAAGGTGAGATAAGTCCCACAAAGCCTAGATATTCATCTAGTCATGACGAATCCTCTGATGCCCCTTGTGCCCCTTGAGCCCCTTGTGCGCGCTTCCCGCATCCCAGAGCTCACCGTGACTGATAAATTGAGAATGGGATTAATGAAGTCAGATATTCTCAGATATCCAGCTAACTCCTTCTCTTGCAGGCATTGCCTCCCCACAGCTACTTCAATTCATCCACGACCACGTGCTACATCCAGACGCCCCCTTCCAGATTGTCAAGCGCAAGATCATAGCAGCCGTCCAGAGCAGCACCGAGATCATGTATCCCCTGCTGCAGCCCTTCATCGACCGCCTGACGGTGGCGCTGTACAACTCTCCAGACATAGTCATTGTGGGCTTCGCCCTCGTCGTACTCGTCCTGACCATCCAGGTGCTCAGCTGGATCCGGCGCGTGTCCATGTGGGCGGCCGGCGTGGCCTTCCGGCTGATGTTCTACGCGGTCGTGGTGGGCGTGGCGGCGGCGGTGTGGCAGCGCGGCCTCGAGAACAGCGTCAAGGATGTCGTGGTGCTCTGCAGCAAGGCGGCGGGCTTTGCGGTCGCGCTGAAAGACTTCTGGCTGCAGGAATACAAGAAGTATGACGTCCAGCAGCAGAGGGCGGCGGGCGCTGGACGAGCTGGCGCAGCGCGAGGACGAGGACGATGATCGGCGACGAATGGATATCTGCTTGCATACGAGATTCGGGTTCAGCATTGGCGACGAGGCGATCACGGGGTGTTAGGATGTGGTTTTTTAAGGGCAGGGTATCAGGATGTGGTTGGTTACATGAGCCATCATGGTTTGATTCTCAGGCTCACTGCGAATTGCAGATGTACGACTAATAATTATTTGGAATACCCTTTAAACGCCAACGCTATGCGGAACCATGACCATTCCCCATCCGTCCAATCCAACTGTGCCGGTGCTTGATGTCGTGAACTGTCTATTCTTCTTCCTCATCATACTCCTCCTCCTTGAGTTCTCGGGGCTCCTGTGCCTCGTGGTACTGGATGCAGTCGTCGATGTAGCTAAGGATGGCACCTACGCTGTCCTCATCCGAGGCGTCGAGCTTCAGATAGCTCACCATGCTGAAGCTCTCAATCAGGCCAGCGACAGCCTTGTTCAACCTCCTGAAACTTGCGCCGCGCATAACCGCCTCCCTCTTCGTCGGATCGGCCGCATCGTCTTCATTGTCGTCCCCCTGCTCTCCGGCCTTCCGTCTTGCAATATCGGTCGGGTCGTCCTCGAGGAGGGTCGTGTCCGGCGTCAGGAAACGCTTCAGGTCCTTCTTGCGCACCTGGCCCTTGACCAGGTCCATCTTGGACAGGATGTTGACGTGGGGGATCTCGAGCATGATCATGGCGCTCATGGCGCTGAGGGTGCCGGAGAAGAACTTGGCCCGGTCGACGACGAATGTTGCTTCCAGCAGGTACGCTGCGCAGAGCCGGATGTCCAGCGCGCCGGCGGTCGTCAGGAACCTCACAAGAGCGGGGAGGATGGGGATGTGTGTGTATAGCTCGATCTGGCCGGGCATGTCGAAGATGATCAGGTACTCCTCGGTGAGGCCGTCCAGAGCTTCGGTCAGAAAATCGAGGTTCTCCATCAGGAACTCAAAGCAGTAGACGAGTCCGCCGTTGGGGCCGAGCCCCATCTCCTCCATGACATCTTCGAGGGAGATGAGGTCCTTGATGTCGAGATCGGGAGCATGTTCAAAGGACTCGGCAGCGGGGTCGAGGTTTACGTAGAAGCAGGAGCGTCTATTGAGGTTGAGATGGGTGATGAGGGAGGCACAAAAGGTGGACTGCGTGCAGCTTCGTGTCAGTGGGTTGGGTTGGCCCAGGGAGCTTCAGCGGGTTGAGATAAGTCCGGCAGGGGGCGCATCTGCCGAAGGTATCAAGAAAGGGACAGGACTGACCTTCCCCGCGCCTGCGGGGCCCATGACCATGACGCCGAATTTGCTCATCCTGATGGCGATGGGGTCCTTTTCCGGACCGGTCGTTGTAGGTGTTGAGGAGTTGTGATCTCCGCCGTTGAAGAAAAGCGCCTCGTTGGACGGCCAGCCTTGAAAATGACGAACGCGGCGAATCTGAAGGGCCTCAAGGTTATTGCCGTGCTCTCTCTTCAAGTTGCCCCTCTAATCGGGAATAGACTACCTTGATAATGCGCAGCTACCCTGAACTTTTTTTTTTTTTTGGCTTGGGAAATTTTTGGATTGAGGGAAAGATGCCCCGCAGTGGGGTCCTTGACATGTGCAGCGATAGGAAAAATGACTGGCTGTGGCTACAGGGGTAACTTAGCTAGGTAGCGGGTTGCTGTAGGGCAACGGGCTTAAGATATTGGGCGGTGAAGAGAGAGAGAGAGAGAGAGAGAGAGAGAGTTTCCCCTCGGTGCACGATATGACAGTACAGTACAGGACAGGACACCTATAGTCTCAAATGAAAGATGGGATGGGGTAAGGTACCTAGGGAGGAGGGATAGATATAGACAGTACAGCAGGATCATAGGCAGGTAAGGTAGGCATCTAATGCATCGGGGGAGGAACCGGACTTGCATACCTGGCTGTTCTCACTCACTATTACCTAGGTAGGTAGTCCAGATCAGTGCCATGTGTGGTTTGTCCCAAAAGGCACGCTTTTCTCTGCAGATGGCGCAATTGCTCGCTCCCAGGTGAAAAGAAAAAAGAGGCGTTGGCGTGGGCGTGGGCGTCGGGCGTAGCGGATACCGGGCCCTAGCGTGCAGATAGTATGCGAGACCCAAGTCACAGGAACCTCGCAGCGCCATCCATTCTCGCTCGGACCGGCGACATTTCTGGCGGATAGACTGTGCCTGGGAAGGAATTGCGAAACCAGAGCCAACCCAACCAACGGGCGGTGTCTTTGCCCGCAAAAAACCTCTTTTCTTCTCATAAATTCCCACTACATCCATCCATCCCCAACCCGCCGGCTTACTTTCTCCCTCCTCTCCTCCTTCTGTCTGCAGCAGTCCCACCGCCTTACAGTAGCAGTTTGATTGATTGATTCCTGATACCTGATTCCTGTACCTGAGGTGGTCTCTTGTCCTCTCCTTTTCCCTGGTGAGTTACCTAATGTTGCACTGGTGTTTTGCATTCATCTCTTCCACGGCATGCGCTGTGCTGTGTTGTGCCCCGCGGCGGGACAGCCAGGACAGACCGCAAGAAAAATACTGCATAGTACCGGCCCTGCGCAATCTCACTTTCGGCGCTTTTTCTTGCCCTCTCCGAAACTCCCCGCCGATAGGGCCCTGCTCGCATGCATCTTGTCAATTGCCTCTTCTTTCTCGCTCTCGATCTCGATCTCTCGTCCTTTTTGCTTGTTTCCCCCCGAGTGTTGTCGTTGACATTCTCTAGTTGACTGCCGCGTCTTGCCGAGAGCTATCCGTCTTTCATCCGAAAACCCTCCTCAACACAATGGCCGCCAACGGTACCAACGGTGTTCACGCCGACCCCGCCTCATGGAGACACTACAACGAGGGCACCTTCCTGTTCACCGTAAGGCACTACCTGCTCCCGCATCTTCAATTGACCGCCCGCGGCTAATCCGAACCTGCAGTCCGAGTCCGTCGGTGAGGGCCACCCCGACAAGATCGCCGATCAGGTCTCCGATGCCATCCTCGACGCCTGCTTGGCCGAGGACCCCCTGTCCAAGGTCGCTTGCGAGACCGCCACCAAGACCGGTATGATCATGGTCTTTGGTGAGATCACCACCAAGGCCAAGATCGACTACCAGAAGACCGTCCGTAACGCCATCAAGGACATTGGCTACGATGACTCCTCCAAGGGCTTCGACTACAAGACCTGCAACCTGCTGGTCGCCATTGAGGAGCAGTCTCCCGATATCGCCCAGGGTCTGCACTACGAGAAGGCTCTCGAGGAGCTCGGTGCCGGTGACCAGGGTATCATGTTCGGCTATGCCACCGACGAGACCCCTGAGCTCTTCCCCCTGACCCTCCTCCTCGCCCACAAGCTGAACGCTGTCATGTCTGCTGCCCGCCGCGACGGCACTCTCCCCTGGCTCCGACCCGACACTAAGACTCAGGTCACCATTGAGTACAAGCACGACAACGGCGCCGTCGTTCCCCAGCGCGTGGACACCATCGTCGTCTCTGCCCAGCACAGCGCCGACATCACCACCGAGCAGGTCCGCAAGGAGATCAAGGAGAAGGTCATCAAGAAGGCCATCCCCGAGAAGTACCTCGACGACAAGACCATCTACCACGTGAGTACTCTCCTGACATGTATCTTCATGTAGACTTGCCGTTCCTAACCTCTTCCTCAGATCCAACCCTCTGGCCTCTTCATCATTGGTGGTCCCCAGGGTGATGCCGGTCTGACCGGCCGTAAGATCATCGTCGACACCTACGGTGGCTGGGGTGCTCACGGTGGTGGTGCCTTCTCCGGCAAGGACTTCTCCAAGGTCGACCGTTCCGCTGCGTACGTCGGCCGCTGGATCGCCAAGTCTCTCGTCGCCGCCGGCCTGGCCCGTCGTGCTCTTGTCCAGCTCTCCTACGCCATTGGTGTCGCCGAGCCCCTGTCCATCTACGTTGACACCTACGGCACCTCCGACAAGACCTCTGAGGAGCTCGTCCAGATCATCCGCAACAACTTTGACCTGCGTCCTGGTGTCATCGTCAAGGAGCTGGATCTGGCCAAGCCCATCTACCTCCAGACGGCCAAGAATGGCCACTTCGGCACCAACCAGAACTTCAGCTGGGAGAAGCCCAAGGCTCTGAAGTTCTAAGTTCCGTAATGCCACCTTGATTGCCGGGAGATTCAACTTCTTCCCGGTAGTATATTTCATCATGATCCAAAGATCTACGATCACGAACTCTTTTTAATTCTGAAATCATGTCACGGACAAGGCACACGGCGTACGGTTCTCAACAAACCTGGTTAGGGAGAGACAATATCCAGTTTCGCGCTTCATCTACTTTATTTTCATTGGTTTTGTCAAATTTTTTTTTTTTTTGGGCGTTGACTCTTAGCGAGTCCGCCGCGGCTCACGACTCATAGGTATAAGAAAAGGCCAAATATAAACGGCATTCTGGCGGATGACCTGCTTGAACGGTCGGCGGGAGACGGCGTCTTTCAACAAAGACACATAAACAAACACACGCATTAAGAGTTGGCTGAGGGGACCCGGCTACGAGGCTTCCCTGCCACACGCAACATTACAATCATGTCATCAGCATTTGCGATACCAATCCATGAAAGCATTAGCATCGGCGTTAACGGGGAAACAAAAGAATTTCAACATACTTTTCTTTCCTGGTTTCAATGCCGATAATGTCTGGCTGCCCGGAGAGTTGGAGCAGAGTTCGCCTTGGCTAGCGACTTCATGCCTCTCGTACACGGGATAGGAGGAGACTGGGTTCTCGGTCAGAGACCCTGGTGTGGCAGTTCTTAGAGTGTAGATAGACAGATGACAGATCGCAGAACAGAATAGAGTCGATTATCTGCGGACAACCTGCCTCGTTTTCTAGGACATGGTGATATGTGTTTGAAGCTGAAAAGCCAACTAAGTATATTCAACGAACTAGCTTCTGTAAGCCCTTCATCATCATTCTAAGTATATGTGATTATCTCTCTGATCCAGCCAATAGCGCTACGTGAGCCGTGTCGTCTATGGGAAATCGGGTTCGAGTCTTTGATCACTGTCTAGACATCATGACATTGGTGCTGACAGGCCTATTGATCTCAAAGATAGGATCAACGAAGGTTAGCAAGTATTTCATTTTCCATATCGCGTTGGGGTAGCTTCATGGGACTGAGCCGAGGCACATGCTCCGCGAACCGCTTCCCCTATGAATAGTCGAAGAGCCCCTTCTTCGGAGTCTCGCCATCTATAATTATATCTCATACCTTGCAGCACCGGCTATCTTAACCATCTTGGCCCACCTTGGCCCGTAGACCAAAACGCTTGCTATTTTCCGATTACCCCAACTCCAGAGAGCTATAGATTATATGCATGCTAGGAACGCCACTCGGCTCCGGATCGCCTAAATGGCCTTGCAGCTTGGACTTCCCGCCCCCAGCTCATTGCAGTCGCTCATGCAGTCCATTTGTTGCATTGCCAATCTCGCAGCAACGAGAGCCCGTAAATCTTTGCGAGCTCTCCTCGGAGCTGGCAAGCATGGCCTCGCAGAGACCGCGGTACCGGAGCCGGACTGCCATGCGATGGTGACCGGACGTCCGTTGAGTGAACAATCTAAAACCAAGACCGGAGTCGCCTGGTTAAATTCGACTCAATATCTCAACCCCTGGAAATGCTCACGAATGCCTGGGTATCTCGGCACCGTGCAGCAGATTCACCAAAACTCCCCAAAGGATTGCTTTGATTGAGTGGTGACGATGAGAGGTATAAATAAGGGGAACGCCTTGAGCGAAGTCGAGAACGAGAAGCGCATACCCAACATCAGAGCTCACTGTGCTGGGTTCCTCTGCATCCCGAGCGGCCTACCTTGAAGTTCAACAGCGACCTCTCGCAGTGCGATGAAGCTCTGCGTGACATTCGCCCTGGGCGCCGCCCTGGCGGGTACGGCGCTGGGCTACGTGATCCGCGACACGCCAGCGGTGTGCATGACGCGCGACGAGGCCAAGGACATGGTGGACATCTACCAGCGGCTGATTGCCAACTACACGGCGTCGGACTGCGACAAGTTCTGCGCGGACAGCTTCGTGGACAACTCGGACAGCATCAACAGCTTCCTGAACCAGCCGCTGGGCGGGCCGACGTTTGCGACCAAGGAGATCTTCATGGAGGCGCAGCAGTACAATCCGCCGTTCCCCGTGGTGATCGAGTCCATCGACGCCGTGGACTGCGACGTGATTGCGCTGCAGTGGCACGCGACGTTTGGCGAGGCGAACCAGCCGAGCAAGGGCATCACCATCCTCAAGACGACCAAGGAGAAGGGCTACTGGCAGATCCGGGAGATTGACGTCGAGTTCAACAGCCTGACTTGGCTGCTTGACATGGGTGGCAGCTATGTCTGGGACGGTTAAAGCGGGAAGATGGGAGAGACAGAAGGAGGAAGAGGAGGAGGAGGA